CAACGCTGCATGGATGAAATGGAGGGAGTCCACTGGAATCCTCTGCGATCGAAGGTGCTCCAGAACGCTCAAAGGTGTACCGAACAGTAGTCAGGCCTGCGAGTGCTGGCCCCTGAACAAGAACCACGAAAGGCAGCTTCACTCCGCTGAGATGAGGTGGGCCTGCGGCTGGACAGGGTCAGAAACGAGGATGTCAGAGCGGTCATGCAGACTGCCCCTGTCCAGCTGAAGGTGCGAGAAGCAGCGTCTGCGATGGTATGGGCACGTGCTAAGGAGGCCACAGGATCATCCGATAAGAAGCGATGGACTTCGAAGTGCAAGGCAAGCGACCGCGAGGAGCCCCAAAGAAGAGGTGGAGAGACGTGATCAAGAAGGACCTAAGTGAAGTCATGGCCACAGCAGAGGATGCCCTGGACAGAGTAAAGTGGCGACGACTGACAAAGACAGCGGACCCTGCGACTGCGCGGGACTAACGCTAGGGAGAAGAAGAAGAAGGCTCGACGTCGTTCTACACAGGGGGGGGAGGTGAAGAGTGTGAAGAGCGCAGCACCACTCTGAGAAGCCAATCAATCAAGGAATGCAGAGTACTTCGCGAAGCCTTCGAACGAGAAGCTTCCCACAAGGACAACCTGTCAGAGAGTGACGCCTGGTTTCATCGCACTTTGAACCGAGGATGAGGTTTGACAGGAGCACGGAAGATGAGAGTTGGGAAGGTGGTAGGACCAGACTGTGACAACTGAAGCATAGGGAGCCCTTGGAGAGCACGGGATAGGATGGCTCACACGATTTCCCAACAACGTAACTGCGGAAGGAAAGATGCCCAGAAGAACAAGTACTATCGTCCCCATCTTCAAACAGAAGGCGACGCGATGGACTGCTCCAACCACCGTGGCATCAAGTTCATTGCCATAACATGAAAGAACTTGGTTTTCGTTGATTAGTTTCCGCCGATTACAGTTCTGATTAAGAACGCACATCTCGGTTAAATCGTAGCATTTTCGATCGAAATAAAAATTGATAAACTCCCTACACTTTTGCCAATAAGAAGGATTTTCAATAAATCCGAAGGTTGAAAAGGCTAAGGTTCTGAAGGAATAGAATCGGTGATGGTCATTTTAGCATCATGTTTGATCACCATCATCTCTAAGAGACAATCCAGATGATCGGAGCTGCAAAGGTTGGCCAGCAATAGATTTGCTGTGTAACCGTCCGCAACATAATTTCGTAGCTCAGCTAGCTGAACTTGTCCACGTTGGAGGTGTGAAAGGGGCTGCACTGCAGTGGGGAGAAGGCCGCGGCATCTACTTGTCGACTTCCTTGAACTTTTGTCCTTCCTAATTATGGCTGCGCACGCATTCGCACGCATCACATCTGCAGTGGTGTTAAACAGGGCCACCCATATTTTTGGAATGCTTCCTCGCGAACTACGCCCACCTCGTTGCGCGTTAACCTAATTTTCATTATCAGACTCTTTCACTTTTTCCGGGTCTTCAGGGCGTCTTTGATCCGAGTTACAGTGTTTTGTGGATTACTCCACCTATTCCAGTGCATGCCCGCCCACCAACGGTATATGGACTACTTTTCTTCGCCGACCTCTATCCCCTTTTTCCTGTCTCTACT